AAATTGAAAATGAATGTAAAGAAAAATGCTAAAAAAAATTGAAATTCAATTGTGAAGAACGGTAAAGCCTAATAATAAGAGTAAATTGAAGCAATTAGTAATTGCAACTAAGCTAATCATGAGAGGTTGAATGAACTATACTCAACAGAGTACATAAGATGGAATTAGAGAGTGTTTGCAAAAGTTTAAGAAAGTATTTTTCAGTTTTTCCTAAAAAGGTTGAATTTCACTTTTTTGCTCAAAAAAGCGGAAATTGATGTTTTCAAGTGATAACTCTATTTAAAATAAATACTCAAAAGACAAAAGTTGGATGCAAGTGGATAACTACTTTAAACGATTTTTCAGTTTTTCTATTACAAAAAGTGCTTATTAAAAAGTGCTCTTTTTATTAAATACTTCCAACTTTTAACTTTTCAAAATAACTTTTTTTTTCAAACACAACCAATTTTTACCATTAACTAATTTCACTAAGATCACTTTGAAACTCGCCATTTTAAAATAGAAGCAATCACAAACAATTTCATATATGATAAAGCTATGAAAATGTTAAATGGAGAAACATATTTTTTCTAGTAGATAAATGATTATACACTCAATTAAGCTTAGTGATATTCAAACCTCCAAGAATTGGTGTAGCGCAGTTTTGTGAAGCAATGAAGGTAAACAATTTTGCTTTCGTTAGCTTACTGATTGAATACTATCACCTACAGCTTGGTTGGATAGTTGGTACGTGTTTCGAAAAATGTTTACAAGAGATGCTTTCTTTACTTTACTTGTTTGGGATATCCTCTAGATCATTTAAACTTTGTCCGAAGTATCTTCTTTCATTAGTTTAAGCAAGGGAATTTGCATCTTTAAGTCTTCACATTTTGTCTCCCCATGGGTTGCTTTCTTAGTACCAGCTTCATAAGGTAGCTACTTCCCACTTCTAAACATAATATCAGTTGATATCACCTTATCACCTGATGACTTCAATATATCACCAAATTATCTCTTTTTCAAATCTGGTAGGCAAATCACCTAAGTCTGTGGGGCAAATGTCTGGAAACATTTGTCGAGTATTATTACACGAAAAATAGAATACAAATTAAAAGAGGTGGACTAGACCAATGCCTCTTTCAGAGAAGGCATACCTTCTTAATAAACACCAGAAAATTCCAACAAAATAAAATTGGGGGGCTTCACCAAATTATCAATAAGAAGAAATGTGTAAATGATTCACTATTAATATCTCACTGATGAAAAAGATTTCTTCCTTTTCTTGCAAACATTTCCAAATCTTCAAAAATAGAAGTTAAGAAAAACATATCATACATAAGCTCCGAAAGTAAACCAACAAAAATACACTCTACTGTCATTTAGTGTTTTTGAATAAGTAAGGATTGCCCAGCTTTAATTTTTCTTGACTCTAATCAACTAAGCTTCTGTATTATAGCTTGTTTTAAAATTCTCTTTTATTACATGTTTATATGTCATGTTTCACTAAGGTACTTGAGCTAGCTACAATTTATGTAGGATACTTTACATTTTTAAATTTGGGATGCATTTGCAATTGCTAACCTATTGTTGACGGAACTGGTAAAATACATGGAAGTGTTGTAGGCTGTTATTTTGAATTTTTGAATGCTTTGTTTTAGGCTGAACATGTTCTTGGCACTTCATAGAAGAGAGGGTTCATTGTGAAAGTGATGTGAGTTTTCTCGCACTTAAAATAGTTTGTAGTAAAGGGTAGAAGTACGAGTATCATCTCCACAGGGACGGACAAAGGGGAAATAAGAATTAATTAAATTCAGCGAAAAACGGAAATAAAATAAAAAGCAATTGTGCGAGATTTGACTGATTGGAAAAATAAAATGCGATTGAGGAATAAAAAGCTTGGTTTCTTCTTAATTAACGACGAAGGGAACTTGGATTGGTTCCGAGGTAACCAGATATCTGACAGATCAAGCTTAATTACGTGAAATTAATTTAATTGAGCCTAGCTAATCATTACTAAGTTCTTACCGCTGTCGCGGCGTAGAGTACAATAATTTAGGGGTCGAGGCTGATCTCTCATGCTACAGGTTCCTAAATTATTGCCAAGACGAGCGAGCTTACGGCCCCTTAATCGCTACTAATCTCTTAGCGAGCGATTAAGTGTGTGTGAATGTGTCCTAGAATAAACTAGATCTCTCTTAATTTATTCAACAAGCAAATGTAATTATAGCGGTCGTTCTAGGTTACCAAAGATATAAGTTAAATTATTCAAACACAAATTAAACGGCATTCATGCAATTAATCCATCAAGAAACTGGCCATATATCATGATTAACCCCTTCATTAATCCCAAATTCCTAATTGAACTACTCACAACCCATAATTGATAAATCAATAGAATTGGGATGAATAGAAATAATCGGAAAAGATCCTGTCCAGCCGGAGGGACAGGATCCTCCGTCCGGCCGCCGCCGTTTGGGGCGGTTTACCAGTGGAGTTTTTTAATGAAATTTTTATGGAATGTTCCTCATCAAGTCTAGTTTATCCACAAAAAATTTCAACTAACAATTCGATCGGGAAGACAGTCAAATAATTTTTTGAAACATAACTGCGTTTTATATGTTTAATTTGGCGCAGTTATCTTCAAAAACTTATTTGACTGCCTTCCTGATCAAATTTTTAGCTGATTTTTTTGGATAAACTAGACTTGATGGGGAACATTCCATAAAAATTTCATCAAAAAACTCCACCAGGAACCATCCCAAACGGCGGCGGCCGGACGGAAGATCCTGTCCCTCCGGCTGGACAGGATCATTCCTCTAGAAATAATTGTCATTAATTAATGAAATGGAACTTACAAATAATCTCAGGGACTTGAACAAAATAGTAGAAAAACAACGTAAAACTCGTCCCTATGCCTCTCTCTAAATTCCGTAACCCCAAAATAGGAGTATGGAGCCCTTATTTATAGAAAACAGGTGAATTTGGGCTGAAATAGGATTTACGGAGTCAGGCACGATCGTGCCTGACCTTGGTGCCTCCGTAGGAATCCCGTGTCTCATGTCAGGCATGGTCGTGCCTCCCTGGCATGCACGATCATGCCTGGCCTCCAGTAGCTCGGCGATCCTTTCTTCTTCAGGCACGACGTGCCTGTCTCCCAGGTACGCCTGTGCCTGTCCTTTTCTCGTCCGAATTTGACAATGCTTCCTTAATGAAAGTTGTAGATAATGAAGTCCTCTATCCACTACAACTTGCAAAACTGGATTTGAATTATCAAATCAAAAGATATGAATAAAATGGTGGAAGGTCGCATTCTGAAATCTCAACAGCGACCATCTGACTTCATCGTCTGTTTTCACCTTTCTCCTATCGGATTCTCGAAATGGTGTCTTCATATGATTTGTAGCTCTTGAAGTTGTCTTTCATATGGAACTTGAATCATGTTCTTTAGATGTTTATACGAAAAGATATGTTTGAACGATTAAAAGAAGGTCATCCTAATAGCCATTTTCAAGTTCTATTCGTCTTCTTTTGATTCTAATTTCAGCTAAAATTTCAATCGGGAACGCATTCAAATTAATTCTTGAAGCTAACTGTGCAGTTAAATGCGCAGTTATCTTCAAGAATTAATTTGAATGCGTTCTTGAAGTTTTAGCTGAAATTTGGTGTGAGTAAACTAAACTTGATGAATAAGATGCTCAAAAATTTTAATCAAAGAATTCTACCAGAAATCGCCCCAAATCGCGACGACCAGACAGAGTCTCCTATATAAAAGACTTATTTGACCTTTTTATGAAAGTTTGAGGACCTATTTGACAGTTTTCCCTTATATTTTTTAGTATTATGTTGAAACCGAGTTGGCCACCTAGTCGGCGACTAATCAGCGCCTAGTCACCCTAGGCGATGCTTGGAATTTTAGACCATTTCTATTTACTCACCTAGTATATCAAGAGCTCGTTAAGCATCACAAAAATCGGCTGTTTTGGCTGATTCTGCTGAAATTTATGAACTTCTGGCTGAAGTGGCTGCATTGACTAATTCTGCTGATTTAAGAAAAAAAAAATTAAAATATATTTTATTAATAAAATGAAGAATTTTTTTTATGTAAACTAGCTAAAATCGTCATCTACAGTAACTTCAGCCAATACAGCCAGAAAAGTAACTTCAACCTTACTTTTTCTGCTTATTACACAATTCAGCGCGCGAAAGTAAAAGTTATGTGTTTGGTGAAAAAGTTGTCTGATAAGCCGAAAAGCAGTGTTGCCAAACAGCCTCCAAATTTCATATATTTCTTATAAAAGTTGATTAACCTATTTGCAAGACTAATTTAGATTTATCAACATTCCATAAAAATCTAAAATTGCAAATCAAAAGTTTCTATCGGACATAAACCGCTGACAGCAAGAAAGAGCAACTAAGCTGCAGCGGTAGTGCGCTACCGTGATCAAATTCTTCCCAACTTATAAACCAATGATTTAAGAAATTAGGACTCATCAGCTGCGGCAAAATAATGAATAGCTTTGATTTTGTAATCAAAGGCTTGGAATGCCTATTGCTCCTCATTTCAAAAAGAACACACAGACTGGTGAACACCAACTGCAAATCCGCAATAAACGAATAACAAATAAATAAAGCTAAGGGGGAATAGCTGAAGAATCGAGGTAGCTGGTGACCTGTGGTGTAGAGCAGCAGTGTTATTTTTTCTAAAAAGGGAAAACTGTCAAATAGGTCCTCGAACTTTCATAAAAAAGTCAATTAAGTCCTTCTATAGGAGACTCTGTCCGGTCGTCGCGATTTGGGGCGGTTCCCGGTGGAATTTTTTGATGAATTTTTTTGAGCATCTTATTCATCAAGTCTAGTATTACGATAGTGTGAAAGAATATATTAGGAGATATATTATTAATATTATAATATGATATGTAATATGTTATTTTAGGTATCTAACTTATTATCTTTCCATTTTAGACTAGTCAACTCTTACATATATACGTTTGTAGCTCTTTGGAAACGGCAGAACAATAATAATACTACTTCGTTTATACCTTTGCCGTCTATCATGGTATCAGAGCCGGTTAAGACCCATCTGTGAAGGAAGATTTCAGCCGCACTGTCATTCTTGGTAATGGCAGTAGGAGACGGCGGAGATCATTTTTCAGCATCGTCATTGTTCCTGGGGCCGCCGGACAGACCGGGTGAAGACCAACCGGAAATCATGAAATTTCCGGTGCAAACTGAGGGATGTGAAGAAATCAGATGTGGAGGTGCCATCGTTGGGCGTAGGCGTGAGAGTGTACGAGCTCATGCGGCTGCAGTGGTTTCTTCAATTTCTCACACAGATAATGTAGTTGCAGATGGAGCAATTGGACAGCTGGAACGTGAGGAAGGGAAAGCCCTTCCAGGACTTACATCCGAACAGTGGCAGACTCTTTTGACAGCTTTTGGTAAACCATACTCTCCTACTAATCGGAGTGTATCCGGTAAGTTTGACATTTTTTCTTGGATAATTGATACCGGCGCGTCCAATCATGTGACCGGGAATCTTTCTTGTTTAAGTGACGTCAAGGATATTAACGCGTGTTCAGTTGGACTTCCAGACGGTCAAAAAGTAATGGCTGCCAAAGTGGGATGTGTCCGCTTATCTGACTCAATACAATTATCTCATGTGTTATTTGTTCCAAAATTAAATTGCAGCCTTATTTCGGTATCTCAACTTGCAGAAGACCTTGATTGTTTTATTCAATTCACTTCTAATATTTGTGCTATTCAGGACCGGCACTCGAGGAGGCTGATTGGAGCGGGTGAGCGGAGGAATGGACTCTACTATTTTCAAGACGTCTCTTGTGCTTTTATTTTTGGTGTTCAGAAAAGAACTGAGACTGTGACTACCTGGCACCAGCGGTTGGGACATCCTTCATAAACTGTTATGAAATGGCTCAGACCTGTGAGTGGACATCCTAGTATTGTTACTCCGCCCTGTGAAATTTGTTTTAGAGCTAAACATGCTAGAGATGCTTTTCCTCTTAGTGATAGCAAAAGTACTCGTATTTTTGAACTTATACATTGTGATTTATGGGGACCGTATCATACGCCCTCTTCTTGCGGCGCTAAAAGTTTCCTGACTATTGTTGATGATTTCTCCCGTGCTGTTTGGGTATATCTTTTGGTTGATAAGACGGAAGTGTTTTCCATGTTCATGAATTTTTGTGCTATGGTGGAGCGTCAATTTTCTCAAAGTATTAAAATTGTTCGTAGTGATAATGGGACAGAATTTAATTGTCTTAAAGATTTTTTCCGTACTTCTGGTATCATCTTTCATACATCTTGTGTTGCAACACCACAACAGAATGGTCGTGTCGAACGTAAACACCGACACATCCTTAATGTTGCTCGTGCCCTCCGATTCCAAGCGAATCTCCCCATCAATTTTTGGGGGGAATGTGTCCTGACTGCTGCCCACCTTATTAATCGGACTCCTTCTACAGTACTTCAACACAAAACTCCCTTTGAAATACTCTTTGGAAAGCCCCCTGATTATGATACTCTTCGGGTATTTGGGTGTTTATGTTTTGCTTATAATCTTCGATCTACCAGAGACAAATTTTTAAGCAGGAGTCGAAAATGTGTTTTTATTGGATACCCTTTTGGTAAGAAAGGATGGCGTGTCTATGACCTTGAGTCTCAGGAGTATTTTGTATCACGAGATGTCAAATTTATTGAGGATACATTCCCTTTTGCCACATCTTCGGCTGTTATCCCGGAGGAATCTCCACCATTACCGCATCTGGACACTTGGGAATATCCTTCTACTGCACCTACTCCAAAAGCTCTCGACCCTCCGAGTACTGGAGACCCAAATTCTTTCACTCCTGCAGATACTGGATCTGAGGTACCCTCTGCATCTAGACCTTCATCTCCTGAATTGGGTCGTGGGAAACGTCTCAAGCTTCCATCGGTCAGATTACGAGACTTTGAGACACATACCATTTTGCATCATAGTCCATTCCCCGCTCCATCCTCTTCATCGGCCAACTCAGGTACACCGTTCCCTATAGCTCATTATATTAATTGTGATAAATTTTCTCCCCGCTATCGTACTTTTCTGACAGCTCTCTCAGTTAGTAAAGAACCTGCTTCCTTTAAAGAAGCTGTCCAAGATGCTGGTTGGCGTGATGCCATGCGTGCTGAAATTCGCGCGCTTGAAGAAAATCGAACATGGACCATGCAGCCTCTTCCGCCTGGAAAAAGGGCGTTGGGTTGTCATTGGGTGTACAAGATCAAATATCACTCTGATGGCAGTATTGAACGACTCAAAGCTCGTTTAGTTATTTTTGGCAATCGCCAAATTGAGGGGCTCGATTATACTGAAACTTTTGCTCCGGTAGCCAAAATGGTCACAGTTCGTGCATTCTTGGCTGTTGCAGCTTCCAAAAATTGGGAACTCCATCAAATGGATGTTCATAATGCATTCTTGCATGGTGATTTGGATGAAGAAGTTTACATGCAGGTTCCGCCGGGCTATGCTGCATCTGATTCTTCTCTTGTATGTCGGCTGCACAAATCTCTTTATGGCTTGAAGCAGGCTCCTCGTTGCTGGTTTGCTAAATTAGTTGGAGCTCTTAAAGGATATGGCTTTCTTCAATCCTATGCGGATTATTCTTTGTTCACACGTACTCGGGGATCTACTCAGCTGAATGTCCTGGTTTATGTGGATGATCTGGTTATCTCAGGCAATGATCATGATGCTATTATTCATTTTAAATCATATCTCAGTGACTGTTTTCACATGAAAGATCTGGGACCACTCCGGTATTTCCTTGGCATCGAAGTCGCCCGCAGTCCCTCGGGTCTTTTTCTCACACAACGTAAATACACCTTGGATATTTTATCTGAAACAGGACATCTGGGAGCTAAACCTGCAGATTTTCCGATTGACCAAAATCATTCACTTGCTAAAGTTCAAGGACTCCCTCTTTCAGATCCGGAGCCGTATCGTCGTCTTCTCGGGAGACTTATTTATCTTGCTGTAACTCGGCCAGATTTGACGTATTCTGTTCACATTTTGTCTCAGTTTATGCAGGTTCCCTGTCAGGCCCACTGGGATGCTGCACTTCGTGTGGTACGCTATCTAAAAGGTTCTCCTGGACAGGGCATTCTTCTTCGTGCCGATAGCGAGCTTTCTCTTACTGGATGGTGTGATTCTGACTGGGCTGCATGTCCTCTCACTCGTCGTTCTCTGTCTGGATGGTTGGTCTTTCTTGGGCATTCTCCTATCTCATGGAAAACCAAAAAGCAATCCACTGTTTCTCGTTCTTCCGCGGAAGCAGAATACCGGGCTATGGCTGCCGCGACATGTGAACTTAAGTGGCTCAAAGCTTTACTTCTTAGTCTTGGGATTAATCACGACAAAGCTATTCCGTTGTTTTGTGATAGTCAGTCTGCATTGCATATTGCCAGGAATCCAGTATTTCACGAACGAACTAAACATATTGAGGTGGACTGTCACTTTATTCGTGATGCTATAAAAACCGGTCTCATCGCCCCCAGCTATGTTCCTACCACTATGCAGCTTGCAGACATCTTTACTAAAGCTCTTGGGAAAACTCAATTTCACTTTCTTCTGCACAAGTTGGGCATTCTGGATCCTCATGCTCCAACTTGAGGAGGGGTATTACGATAGTGTGAAAGAATATATTAGGAGATATATTATTAATATTATAATATGATATGTAATATGTTATTTTAGGTATCTAACTTATTATCTTTCCATTTTAGACTAGTCAACTCTTACATATATACGTTTGTAGCTCTTTGGAAACGGCAGAACAATAATAATACTACTTCGTTTATACCTTTGCCGTCTATCATCTAGTTTACTCGTACCAAATTTCAGCTAAAAATTTAATCTGGAGCGCATTCAAATTAATTCGAGAACGCAAAAATGCACAGTTATCTTCAAGAATTAATTTGAATGTGTTCCTGATTGAATTTTTAGCTGCAATTTGGTATGAGTAAACTAGACTTGGTGAATAAGATTCTCAAAAAATTTCATCAAAATATTTCACCGGGAACTGCTCCAAATCGCGACGGCCGGACATAACCTCCTATAGAAAGACTTAATTGACCTTTTTATGAAAGTTCGAGGACCTATTTGACAGTTTTCCCTTCTAAAAATAACAAGAATCTATCGGATAACCAATGTAATGTGGGGAGGGATTATTGGTTCAAGTTGTTGCTTCGCATTACTTCTGCCAACTTGTTCGTACTCCAACTCTTCGGGCTCTAGTGGCTCATGCAAAAAAGGTAGCGGCAAGGCTGGATCAATCATGATTTCTTGAAGCCCAACACAGTTTTCCAAAATGAACATCACTAATTCCAAATCACTGCAGTGGCCATAATAGCCTTTATACTTGAACACCTTAATGTGTTGGTGTGGAAATGGTGTCCCCTTCTTCACTTCTCTGCTACCCCATGAAGATACTGAGGGCCATTTAATCTGCACATGAAAAAAATGAAGAACTGGCTTGCTCTATCTGTCTGATTCTCCTATACATGACAAAATAGAAAGACAACATGCAAGCAGCAAAAATTCAAGAATCATCAAGTAAGACAAACCAAATAACAAAGGGAAATTGCCCTAAACATGAGTAAACAGGTTTTAGAATTTCAATATAGGACTGTTAGATTTTTCTTTCTGAAATAGGAGTCGTTACTACCCCGATTGAAAATTATTGCCATTAATGATAGTAAATATTGCGCCATGTTAATGCTTAGTACTGCAACTATTTGGCAAATGATGGACAATAGATACTCTCATGTTACTCCTATTTTGGCGGGAACATAACAGTCCTATTTTGAAATTTCAAAATCTATTTACTCGTATTTAGAAAACTTTCCCAATAAAAAACCAGGAGAATAGGAAAAGGGAAAAAACTTGTACAAACAACCAAATGATAACGCACAAGTAGTCGGACCCACCCACCATTAACACAAATTCTTCTAGGTTAGGAGATATCCTCATGAATGTCGTTAGGTCAAGAAGACTTTCATCGAGATTTGCTGAGTAATGTACAGTCAGCTTCTTCAACTCAAGCATCTTAGGAAAGTTGGACTGCGCAATATCATGTGGCTGCAAGAGACATGATAATTGTAAGGAACAATAATATAAATTTCATTATTTTGTATAGCAGCCGCTGTAATGATGATGTGTCACCTTATGCATTGGCAGCCGCAGGGTAAGAATCTCCAATTGAGAAAAGCAACAACTTAGTGTAGGAACTTTTAATGGCATTTTAATATTCCGGCAGAGGACATCTAAATCTACAAGCATTGGAACATTCTCGAGCACGAGTCCTTTTAGTGTCGAAACTGCAAGTGAAGTAAGGTTTGGTGCGGACACCTTAATGGATACCAAATCATAGCTATACCTTGTATCCAAACTTTTTAACACAAGGGATGGACCACAAACTTCGAGATTTGATAATTGATCTATGTATTGAAGAACTAATTGCTCCAGTGATGTACAGTTCCGCAAGAAAAACTCAATAGCTTCTTCACTGATCAAAACATTCTTCAAACATAGCGCTTTCAGGGAATTGAAGTTGAAAAGAGTAGTAGTTTGGTGAGGGATGTCACTGCTGTTTCGGAACAAGATGTCTTCAGGGAAGACATATGGTTTCAATGATTCATAATCGCCATATTCCAGAAGGTTCAACTCCAAGCTCTCAACCCGTCTCTTAAAAGCAAATTTAAGCCACTTCGTAATGGTCCCAGAGAATGCTTTTCCTATATCAAAACAGATCCTGAAGTGTTCCAAGGTGAGCGCCCCTTTGCGTGGTGCAGATTTCAGGACAGAGTTCACCCATCTTACGTACTTGCGCCTCTCTTCACTACGTAGCTTGTCATCTTGAGCAATCTTGTCCAATGTACTGCTGCCATCAAAATTGAGGCACGTTGTTTGTTTCCACAAGTTCTTCCAACGAAGTGAAAGAACACTCGTGCGCCCAGCTTCCTTCAGCGGAAGGGAAGATAATATCACAATGAGAATGTCATCTGGAAGGCGACTTATACAATTATAAGTGTCAAATCTCTCAGCAGCACACTGTAACACCGAACAAAACAAATATATAATAGAATACAAGATTTTGTCGGTGTACTCAACTGAGGCCAAATGTCACACTCAGCCAAACCATATTGAACCTAAAAGAGTAGCTAGTATAATTATAACCTTGACACACCCAAATATGTCTCACATTTCTCCCCCAAAAATAAATTAGTTTTAAAAAAAGTTTTACAAAAAAGTTAACATAAATTAGTTTGAGGCACATTGAAGAGACCGGTGTGGGCTAAATAACCAAATTGGTAGGAAAAAGGGTGATTTACCAAATTGATAATAAAAAACGGAGACATATTGTAAAAAAAACAGTATGTTAAAAATGATAATAGTAGTTATTTAAAATAAACGTAAATATAATTTTTAAAACATTTTCCAAGACTTATTAAAAATAAAGAAATAAAGTTAAGTTAAATATATACACTTTTGAATTCATATTCTTAATGGTCATTTTACATCTTAATCGCTAATCGCAAACCATTAATTTACTAACGCTAATCGCAAATCATTAATTTACTAACATTTTATTTCAAAACGCTGATGAAAGTGGTTAGTTAAAAAAGGCTCACTGAAACCGCTAATAGCAATCTACCGATTCAACGGGCTATTAGCTAGCAGCCAACTGCTGATTATCAAACACACTCGTTGACATAATTAGCCCTTCACTTTTCAAATAAAATCAAAGTAGAAGGATTGAAAATGTAAATTTCACAATACTGGAATTCTAGAGTGAGGACCAGAAGTGTAACTCACAAAAAATTGACCAAGTTGTCACTAATGCTTCTTGTTTTTTTTGCCAATTTATCTCTGGCAAAAAAAGTTATACTAAAAATGTTATACTAAAAGGGTTTTTTCCAATTTGGTAAAAAAGTTATACTAAAAATGTCTCTGGTGCAACACTTAGAGGATCTAGGTTTCACCCTTTAATTTTACCAATTCGGTGATTTGGCCTACCGGTGTGCACCACCAAAAATAAAAACGCAGAAGTCTCTTTTAGTTTTTAGGACAACAAAGGGGGCAGTTTTTCTGAGAGCTGACCTTCTTTAGTTGAAACCTGGAATCACAAATGACACTATTCCCACCCATCAAAGAACGAATCTTTCGACTCCAAAACAATATCTACAGAGATATAATTCCGCTGCTAGGGATTCAATAGATCAAAAGAATCAATAGAGATGAAAAACTGAAGCCACTATCAACTATATCTACCTTCTTTTTGAAGAAAATTGGGCAATCACCTAGTCCAATCTTTTTTGAAGAAAAAGTACTGAACTTTTTCCTGCAGAAAAAGTTACCTCTTTGTTCCCTGCAGCGTTTTCAGGAGGTTGCCTTCTTAGGTATGCCATTATATTTTAAAAAAAAAAGATGGCACCCCATCCCTGAGGGCCCCCAACACCGACCGGACAGCACGATGAGAGGATGTAAGTTGGACTATAATCACAACCTGACAGATAGAGAGTGGGGTTCCGTCCCCGGTACTTGCAGAGGCCCTATGCATTTTTCAGCATACTAACCCCTTATCGCAGTTGCCGGGATTCGAACCCGAGACTTAACCCTTGTGGCACTCCCTCACTACCAGTTGAGCTACGCCCACCGGTAGTAATTATATTAAAAACAAAGCAAGAGGTTTTCCTCTAATTACATTAGGATTGGTTTTTCCTACTGTCTCACCTATTGACTTTTTGCATGGATTATTAGATCGGGTACGATCAAGCCTGAGATTATTAAAAATGCTGTTTTAAAATCTGGTTCGGTCCTGATAAAAAATGCAGAACCGTTTTTAGAACCAAACAAAGTCAAGACTGTTTGGTTATTACCTTTTTCGGTTCCTACAATTTTGTGTAATCCCCAAAATGAACATAGATTTACTTTGTGGCTACTGAAAGATATTCAAAGTTCATATCATTAAGAGTGACATTTTTGTCAAAGATACCATCATTCCACGCATCCAATGTGCAAATACTATGAAAAATCCAAGCATAAGAAAATAGTAGACAAGGCATTTAAGTTCAACTCATAATGAAAATCTTAAAATAGGCATGCAAGTGCCTAGTAAAGAGGTTTTAGGTTCCAAGGCAACAAGAATAACACACCCAATAACAAGTAAATTTATTTCTGAAAAATATTCTTAAGTTAATATTGCACATCAAGAAGAAGGAAAAAATTTTGAAAAATTTATTTCTCAAATAAACCATATTGAAATGTTGTCCCCGTGTTTTTGAGTATGTAAATGTCACCCTTCGGTTGTCTGAGTTGTTGTAAATGTAGTCCTCGCTGACAAATCAAAACTAACACCGTTAACTTTTACAACTTTTGACACGGGTGGAGTTATAGTTTCAGATTCAGGGGAAAAAATAATAATATTTTTTTAAAATCACACCGATAATTTTGTCACTAAAATCACACCACGAATAAAAGAATTCGATCGAAAAATACAATCCTCTAGACATATATTTCTGAGACAGACAATAAATGTTCCAAAAAATGACCAAAAAATTGTATCGCTCTTTTCCACATTGTCAAAATACTTTGTACCATAATTTTTTCGGGTAAAAGTAAGACACTGACAATAAACGTCAATCGGAAAAATTCATTTTTAAAGGCTATGAACGTCTATCATCGATAAAAAATATTTTCAAACAGATTAAAAAATTGTAAACTTTTTATATCATAAACTTTTTACAGGCTATAAATGTCTATCATAGAAAACAATTGTATTTTTTCGGAATACGTTTCGTACCAGTCACCTTATTTTATAGGAAAATGTTCTTTGCCAAAAAATACAATTATTTTTTAAAATCCTTTATAGTATGTCTATTTTTCAATGATACAATTATTTTTCTACAATAAGAGATTAGACAACAATGCAAGTAGAAAAATTCGTTTTTAGAGATAATAGATCTCTGGCAGTGCCTCAAACGTTTTGCAAGGGCCAAATATTTATTAGCACTGTCACTGCTACCTAATGTGACTTTAAAATGTTTACAAAAATTAGACTGTTTTTTGGCACTCTCAAAATATATTTTCTTCTGCAGACATTTGTTGTATATAAAATCACTTTTTTTGGAATGACATTTATTCCGTCGCCTAACATTATATAGGAAAAAATTGTTAATATGAAATATTTTGTAAATATTTGCAAAAAGTATAGATTTTTTAACTTGTTTGAAAACATTTTCTATCTGTGTTAGACTTTTGTAGTACGAAATTTTTTATTTTAACGACCGACAATTTTTTCCTATGGTTCACTTTTACCAGCAAAATTGTGTGTGATTTTTTTTACAATGTTTACAAAAATAATACCATATACTCCATATATGTTAACACACACACATATATAAGGGATGATTCAAATACAAAGAGGTCTTCACATGCAAAGTGAGAATGAATCTTGAGCATTCATTTCCACATCTAATAGAAGTGTGAAGTTTATTTTAGACACATCTAAAAAGGAAGTGTGAAGTTTATTTTAGACATATCCAAAAATAGAAGTGTGAAGTTTATTTTAGGCATATCCAAAAAGAAAAGTGTAAAGTTAATTTAGGATCGGAGTCAGTACATAATAGGAGATGTAAAATTAGAAACATCTTAAATAGTTTGTCTTTACTTGGACAAATAAACAATACAATAACTCATTGGTTTAAGAGTTAGGATACTTATTCTATAATAAAAAATCCTAGTTTTATAATGTCAATTTATCTTTATTAGATATTTAGTATTCCATTTTTTAAAATAACAAACACCCTAGTTAAATAGTTTTGAGATAATGTGAAGTGAATTTAAAATATAAATGTGTGTGGGACATTAAAATTACACAATTCATTTATTTCTTACTTTTTTAAAAGACATTATGCATAAATAATAAATTTAACTTATTCTAGCATTAATACAAAGTACAAACATGTTATGCATCATTTATGTGAATTAGATTAATTAAAGGGAAATAATAAAGTAAAATTTGTGTGGTTGAGGAAATAATTAAAGGAGAAAATGGCAATGTTAGTAGGACAACCAAAAGAGGAAAGTTGACAAAATTTTAGGGGCGGAAGGTGTAATATTATACTACCTCCATCCCACTACCATTGAGACATGAGGAGGTGTACGGTTATTAAGAAAAGTGATTTATGTGGTTGATATTGAATTGACAAAGTAATAAAACATTATGAATAATTTAGAACCACACAAATTTTACCAAATCTGATATGAGACGATCTTAGTGGTACGGACCGGAAAAAAAGGATGAGACAATCTTAGAAGAATGGGCGAGTACTAAAAGTAAATAATCTTATGCATATTATTGTAATATTAAAAACTTTTGGTAGACAAAAAGTGTAATTCAAAAATTATTTATTTCTTTTGATAGGATTCATGCAGTTAAATTAGAAATGAGTTATTTAGGATGTATCATCTATGTGAATTAGCAACATACTCCTATGTCCCTTAAAACTTGGCAATGTTTGACTGGCAAGGGAAATAATAAAGTACAAGTTGTGTGGTTGAGGAAATAATTATAGGGGGAAGTGACAATGTTAGTAGGACAACCAAAAGAGGAAAGTTGACAAAGTTTTAGGGACAGAAGGTGTAATATTATACTACTTCCGTCCCACTAACATTGAGACATGAGGAGGTGTACGGTTATAAAGAAAAGTGATTTATGTGGTTGATATTGAATTGACAAAGTAAAAAAAAATCATTATGAATGATTTTTTTTTGAATGATTTAACCACAAATTTTACCAAATCTGATATGAGACGATCTTAGTGTTACAGACCAGGAAAAAAAAGATGGAACAATCTTAGAAGAATGGAGGGAGTACTAAAAGTAAATAATCTTATGCATACTATTGTAATATTTAAAACTCTTGGTAGACAAAAAGTGTAATTCAAAAATTATTTATTTATTTCGATAAGATTCATGCAGTTAAATTAGATATGAGTTATTTAGACTGTATCCGTGAATGTGTACCTTTTAGACTCTCTATCTTCAAATAATTTGATAAAATTTTAAGATATTTTATTATCAAATAATTTTCATTTGATTTTCCATTTCTTAGACTTTAATGTATAAATGCTTTTTATGAAATTGCCCTTAATAGGAAAAAAAAAGTTTGTGAATCCCAAAATAGATTGTCATGCTTTTATTTCCCAGAACATGAGTGGTTATTGCTGTGTTTTGACATTACCAAGTTTCACACACAGCTAGGGCTGTGCATTAACCGGGTCGGACCGTATTTTAGACCTGAACCGGACCGGAATGACCCGGTCCGGGTTTCGGTCCTTAGTTTTTCAAGATTCCGGGTTTTCGGTCCGGTCCGGGTCAAACCCGGAAAAAACAGGTCCGGACCGGAATAGACCGGTAACCTATTGTTCCATAAAATATATACTTCGTTTTGAATCATTAGTCAACTTATATTTGGCTTACTACTATGTTTATGGCTTATTTTTGCCTTTTGTTATATACACGAATATATACGGAGTGTGTATTTGGTGTCTAATTATTTCCTAAGTTGTTTATAATTTTTTTTATGTAGCAGGTCCTAAGTTTTTTATTGATCGTAGTTTATATTTGTTTGATTTTTTCAAATCGCTTTTTATTTGTTTCTTTATTTGCAGGTGTGTATGTAGTTTATATGTAGTTTATTTTTGGACGTAATTTAGTTTTTATTACCCCACAATAAATTTTGCCAATTTAGTACACAAAAGATTGTAGTTTTAATTATTGTGGGATACTAATTGTTACAATTGAATAGTTTTGATGACTATATTCCAAAATTAATAAATGAGCTAAACAATTATTTAGTCTATTTAGCATATCTGCATATAAAATTATAGTTTGAAACAACAACAACAACATCCAAGTCTTATTCCTAAAAAATTTGGGGTCAGCTAAGAACACTCTAAGATAATACTCCATATGTCTTTTTTTAAAACCGGGTCAATTAGGGTCAAACCCGGACCGGACCGGAAAATTCAGGTCCGGACCGGTCCGGACCGGTTAGATTCAGGTCCGGTCTTCGGTCCATAGAAAATGATTATTCCGGTTCCGGTCCTAACCGGTTCCGGTCCGGTCCGGTCCGGTTTTGGACCGGTGCACACCCCTACACACAGCAATGATTTTCAAACTTAACGATAATTACTCCCATTTAGATAATAATAAACATAACAGTCTTATTTTGGAATTACAAAACGTTTTTACCCCTATTTCGGAAATTTTCCCATACTTCTTAGCTTTTTAGAGCAGTTCATTCATAAAACCAAAATTATTTTCCACCATTGTGTAAATTTAGTGTGTAGCGGATTTAAAGGGTCATGTATGTACAAATGATTTTTTTAATAAAAAGTATGTTAGAGCTACTGTAGATGTAACCAAACACGTAACTTTTGTTTTCGCGCGCTGAATTGTGTAATACGCAGAAAAGGTAAGGTTGGAGTTACTTTTCTGGCTGTATAGGCTGAAGTTACTGTAGATGACCATATCAGTTATTATTACATCTTATTTTTTCTTTATTTTATTAGTAAAATATATTTTAAAAATATTTTTTTCTTAAATCAGCAGAATCAACCAATGCAACCACTTCAACCAGAACATCATAAATTTGAGCAGAATCAACCAAAACAGTTGACTTTCGTGCTACCAAATGGGCTCTCAATGTACTAGTAATATTAGTAAATACTCTCTCAGTCCCACTAAGATTGTCTCATATTTCGTTTTCGTTCCGTCCCACTAATATTATCACATGTCAAATTGGGTAAAATATATGTAGTTCTAAATCATTTTTATTTTATTCTTACTTTATCAATTCAATATCAACCCTATAAATCACTTCTCTTAATAACAAATCCTCGTGTCCCAATCTAGTGTAACGGAGGTAGTAATAAACTAATCGGAAGCAACTTCTTGAGGTGAACTAAAATAACAAATATGGAGTATAATTACAAACAAATAATCAGCACAATTCAACTCGTTTTATGTGAAACTATGGCGTCCAATTGACCATTACATCTGGTGCTCTCATCCTTTTAAGTGAATACTAAGCATCTCAAACATACAAATTAAGCCAAATCACCATAGTCCATAGAGATTACGGATTACCTGGATGGCAGGGTGTATTGAAGAAAAAAAGATGGAGCACTGTCCAAAGCTTCAGTTTAAATTTCGAAGCTTTAAAGACTCACGTGGAGAAGATTAGATTTAGAACCGATTGCTCAGAGTTGTAGCGGCAGCGGATCCTTCGACAGCTATAAGGTTTCCGTAAATGCAATCTAAAAATTTGATGTGTTTTGGACCTCTGGCACCTTCCTTTTTAAACAATCCTTGATTATAGATATATTGTCACACCATAAATAAATGTTAACCCTTAGCCTTTTTTGGAAGTTTCAAAATAATTGCAACACTTTCATTTTTGGCAATAAAATGTAACTAAAATGATTGAAGTGCCCTTACATCCTTTTAATACTTTTCTTAAATAAATTCACTCCATACTAATACGCTGACCACTGCGTAAATCCATAAGAATAGGGGTGGAAACAGGCCAGGCCAAGTCAAGCTTTTGCCTAAACAGGCCGAGTCTGTTTTAGAATTAATAGGCCTGAGTCGCCTGTTATCTGTTACAGGCCTGTTTGTTTGGCCTGAACCTGGCCTGTTGAAAAGTCTGACCTGGCCTGAAGCCTGTTTAGTGGGCCTGTTAAGAAAAAAGTCAAAAAGTTCAAAAAAATAAAAAATATAAAGTGAAAATCCTTTTAGCCTGATATAAAATTTGCCCCCCAAATATTCACTAAAAAGTCTAATAATACGTTAGGTTTGCTTTGAATGTCTAATAATACGTTAATTATGTAGCTTATAAATTTTTATGTACTTCAAATCTTGAAAAACTTTGAATTTCAATTACCCTAATACCCTATTAACACACTTTATATAATTGAATTAGTATTCTAATATTAAGTGTGTAATTAAGTGTGTATTTATATAATACACACTCCATAAAAATACTATTATGCTTAATTTGCTATAGTTAATTATACTAATATAATATAAATATACAAATAAATATAAATATAACTAAATATATATACAAACGTGTATGTATACACACACACACACACACAAATAGTCCGACCTGTTAAGTTAAATAGGCTTCAGAGTTGGGCTAAGCCTAGCCTATTTAGGTAAACGGGCTTTTCGAAAAGCTCAAACCTACTTTGATTATTAAACAGGTCAGGTCAGGCCAGGCCAGGCCTTAAGCAGGCCAGGCAACAGGCCCCTGACAGGCCGTCTGGCCTATTCCCACCCCTACATAAGAACATTATCCAAAAGACCAAAACTTTCTTGATTCATGTTTCCCATCTTCGTCATCCATCTCTCTGCATCTTCTTTTAATTCGCTTTCTCCGGTGCCACTATTTTCAATTTTCTCTACAACCATCTTCAACCTTTTTTTTTTAAATTTTGGTTGATCGATCTCATTGTTGTGGAGAAATTCAGAAATTCGAGGACTCAGATCATGGGGTAACCATTGACACTGGAGATACTCAATGCCTCAAGCTTTCGGCACCATCGTTGGCTTGGTTAAAGCTTCTGCAGCTCGCTAGCGTTGAGCAGTCCGCCCAAGGTTTTTCAATCCCCTTGCTGCTGACATTACTTTTCTTCTTTGGATAGTCTACAATTGACGGGAGTGATGATGAATCGCGAATTTTATTTTTCAGGAAGGTCATAGCCTTCTAAATTGATGATGGTCGGTGCTCAGCCCAAATTTTCAAAAATTCAAAGAAGAACACAGAAGAGAAGAAGAGAATAAGATGCCGAAGAAGAAGAGAGAGAAAATTAGTCGTAGGGTCCTAGCCCATGGTCATGGGTTTGTTGTCAGACGTTCTGAGCAGGATTGAACAACCGAACAGTGAAAATAAGGGCAAAATTGGAAGTATACACTTTTACCAGCGTTTCTTAATATTTGTGCCCAAACTCCATGTTACATTTAAATCCAAACAGAGGAAGTATATTCTATACTAGTTTTCGTGCGCGCATTGCGCGATGAGACAAATGCCCAATATAGTAAACATGGAATACACCTTTATATGTCTCGCTTTGAAATTTGATATAGGACAAAATTAGTGAAAGATTCCTACTGCGACGAAAAGGCAAAGGCTTGCACAAAGTTACTGCATCAGAGATATTTTCAATTATCTCTTAGATGAGAATATTTTGAGAAAATGTAATTTTCATGGGATAATATTTACCACAATTTACATGTTTCTTTTTTTAAGGACCAGACCAATAAGAAAAAATCAAAAACTAATGAATTGATTGTGTAGAACAAACAATAAGCGCTTAAGCATAAACAAATTAGTGTCATTCTTTGAGTACAACTCATTTCTGGATAAACATAGTAGAATGTAGTAGACGATGCAGTTTTTTGTATTAAGGTTTTGGAGAAAGACTAAAATACACGCTAAGATTATATGTGAAGCTCGAATTATCCACTACACTTGTAAGTGGATCAAATCGACACAAACTTCACATTTATGCATCACAATTTGACAATATACATGCTAGGCTAAACATATGTTTTTTGCCGTCAATTTTTTAATTTCCTACTTGTTTAATCACACACAAACCCCCAACCCACTGATCGAAAAATAAAAAAGTTGTATTAGCATTATCAATAAATAAATCCAATTCAATGGCTATTGTTACTTCAATCATCACTTATCTTCAATCACTTCAATTGCATATGCTATTCATAATACCTTCTCGTTATACCTAGACAAACAAAAAGAGAATATTACCCGAAATAGGACTAAAAAGGTTTAAAAATTCCAAAAATAGGACCGCCATGTTTTTATTCCCAAAATATGACTAATTACTCTCATGTTTTGGCAGTACCAGACTTCAAACATGGCAGTATTTTCCAAACTTCGCAGTAATTACTCCTATTTTGGGAATAAAAAACATGTCAGTCTTATTTTGTAATTTTCGAACTGTTTTAGTCCTATTTCGGGAACTTTCTCAAACAAAAAGCCAAAAGAAGTATATATGTTTTTCTTTGTAAACGGATTTTAGACAAGATTAATACAAAATAATACAAAATATCAGAGTAATGTTGGACTATCTAGATTCATAAAATAGACATTTTTGCAGGATTATACAATAGAATGATACATGAGATTCCCAACACAAAAGAAGTATTGCCTTCACATATTTATTGAATAATATAGATTGTCCATCATACTAAACATGAGACTCTCCTATTTCACATTTTTCATCATACATTTTATATTCTAAGTTTGAATTAGGCATCAATGTTAAACTATGAGATATCAAATATTTGTCCAATATTTCTGTGTACTGAAACTACTTTTCTTAATGCAACAATTCACAGATTCAGAGCAAGACATTACTGAAACTACTTATGTATGATTAATAATTACACATTAAACATATTTTACATTTTACTTTTAGCAAATATTTATAGGGTTCATAGGTGTTGACTGGGCTAACCCTCCTGGTTCGGGTTGACCCTTGACCCGACCACTTTTTCAGGCCACCTTCTTGTCCGATTTTGACAATATAGTTTACAACCTATTCGTGCTTACATGCTTGACTCTAAACCAAATCGGTAGAGTAGTGCTTACATGCAAGCAAATAACTCTCCCTAATGAAATCTTAAAACACCCGAGTTTTGTTGGACACTGTCAATATCACTTCAGTAGCTATGCAAATGGGAGGTTTCAAACACTCAACACTTAAAATGCATAAAAAGTAAAAAAGCATATTGATATTTTTATTAAAAAATTATTACCATTGAATGATCTGGAGCTTTCGTTGTGCTTTGTTTTGTACACCTTTCTTTCGTCCATGCCGGATAAGTCGATTAATACCGCAAAGCTAAATTCTACATTGTTCCATAAACCCTAGTGTCATGTCATAATGTAATTCACCTGAATAGTAAATGCTCAAACTGAAAGAGTGAAAGACTATTATTACTTACCGCACAAACTAAATTATTAAAAAAACTGCTAACTCTAAGAATTCTTTCGTTTTAAGAAAAGATGAGAATACCTAAACACTGTGCTTATCAAGAACTATTATAAGTATTTAGGAAAACTTGATTAGCTTCTACTCCGTTTGTGTTGGTGTATATTATGATTTCCGACGCATTTAAAGAGTTGAAGAAGAGGCTAAAATATCAACTTTCATATAACCTTCGAGTAGCTCACTTAAATTGGATAATGCAGTCTACTCCTAAAGAATGACATGTTCATTGAGTTCAATTATTCTTCCTCCGAATGCTCTATGATGTTCTAGCAGAAAAAGTATAACCCTTTTAATTTGCACTAATGACCAATAAATTAAAATAGCATAACTTTATGGACCAGTCCTAATCTAAAATGACACAACTTTAGCATATACGGATTGAATGAAGATTCAAAGGGAATGAGGGCTCACCTGCAATAATCAATAATCATCGTTGTGCACACAATGATACAAGTCCACAAATCCAGAAAACTATCAACTTACATGTAAGGAGAAGATGAAGTGAATGAAGTTGTGTGAGGAACGCTAGAGCCGATTTCTGGACTGGACAAATTCTTAGTCCCATCTTTTTTCTTTCTCATAAATAAACAAAACATTTCATTATGAAATTGATGATAAGGTGTAAGCAATGGATATTCCAGCTTGTGCATTCTTATACAACGAATGTTTGGATTACATACCTATATATCTGGCATATCAATTATTGATGCCATTTTTTCCTCAAATTTAAAATTAATTTTGGAAGCTAGATACCGAGAGTTCATGGCAAGGCAACCAATTGGCATGATATTGACAAGAGAAGACAGAACCATGAACCACCCTCCCAAATTTCTCGCTCATGGAAGCAGGCCTTGGGTTGACCTTTGCAACTTCTTGGTTCTTTGTTCACCTTACTTCTTCTCCAATATTTGCCTCTCTCAATCTTCTGCCTTTCCTTCATCATCTTTGTAGTCATGGGAGTAAAATCAAAAGCCCCTAGAATGAAGTCAATCTAATACTTCTCATCCCTGGTCGAGGTCTTCCATGGATTCAAGTACCAAAAAGCAGCAATCGGTCCCGCACAGCAAACTCCAACCAAAGGGAAGTACGCCGAGAACGTCTTGCTTTGTAGATTCCCAAATTGATGCCCCGGCAGATTCTTGAACATGATGATGCCGTCGATGAAGGTGAACCTTAGAGCCGCTCCCCACGAGGTGGAGAAGCAGAGCAGGTGGCCCAATTTCACAAACGTGAGGGTCTCGAGAGGCCGTTGACAGTCGGA